GCTTCAACCATGTAGCAGGAAAGGGCACTATTTTGAGGTGTTACAGATGCATCTCTCAGAGCCAAATGGCACATGAGGAAGTGACAAAATGTCTTCCTCTAGATAGAACTGTTCTCTTCAAAAATGTACAATTGCATAGGCCACTGATTGTGATTCTCACCTGAGTACTGAATTTGGAATTAGAAAATGTTTCTCCCAAATAGTGATTGTATGTTGACTATGAGGAGTGGTCAGTGTTCTTATAGAGGTTGGGGGGAGAATTAATTTGGGAATACTAGCCTAATTACAGCCTGAGGCCATAGAGTAGTGTTGATCATTCATCATATAGGTTATTACCCTAATGAGAAAATATATTTTTAAAGTGTAAGAATCAACCTACAGCAACTCTAGAACATAATCCCTTGACAAGTTGAAAACTGCCTGTTTAATTTTGTTATATTCATAAATGGTATAAACATTGATAAGTATTAAAAACAAGTCATAATTTATCACTCTAAAGTATATGGGTTTTTTTTCTCTGATGTTTTAAGAAATTATATTTCTCTGTCTTGAAGTATAGACCCAGGAGCCTTGAGTCAATATATTTATCTTAATCATCCATCCATTGAATTAACAATAAGTTCCTACAATATAACATCAACTTTAAAGGGAATGAAAAATGCAAAGAGAAGTGAAGTGGATTAGCCATTGAGGTTATTTTTTGGAGTGGGAATGCCTACTTGGGTCCCTTTATTTTTACTTTTTTTTTTTTTTTAGCACAAAATTCACTCTTTTTGGTGTACAATTCTATGATGCATAAAGTTGTATAACCACCACAACAACCAAAATAAATAAACAAAAATTAAGTTCTACACCACCCCAAAACTCCGTAATGTTACCAGTCAATAATTTAGTTTTATACATATTGATTGAGTTGGAGGTATCTGAAAGACACTGGTGAAAATGTTCAATAAGAAGATGAAAAATGTGCCTTAGGCTTTGGAGAAATCCGTGCTGGAAATAGAAGTTTAGGAATTTTTGCTGGTATACTAGGCAAAAGTTATGGGAGAGAGACTGCCTGAAACACAAACAAGGGAATTTGAGGATGACCTTTAGAAACATCAATATTTACGTGGCAAGTGGAAAAAGAGGAAAGCGATATTATAAAGGGAAGACAAGACCACAGAGGCTAAAAAGAAAACTTTCTGAAAGGGAGGGTGGTCAATTGATGGTGGCAAAGCACATAACAATACCAAGTTAGCATAAGAACTGGAAAATATTTTGGCACCTAGGAAGTAATCACTAAATTTATTTATTTTTTTTTCAACGTTTATTTATTTTTGGGACAGAGAGAGACAGAGCATGAACGGGGGAGGGGCAGAGAGAGAGGGAGACACAGTTCGGAAACAGGCTCCAGGCTCTGAGCCATCAGCCCAGAGCCCGACACGGGGCTCGAACTCACGGACCGCGAGATCGTGACCTGGATGAAGTCGGACGCTTAACCGACTGCGCCACCCAGGCGCCCCAGTAATCACTAAATTTAATGAGAGCAATTTCACTGGATGGGGCGTAGAGTTAATGGGAAACTTGACAAAGGATAAAATTTAGAATAGTAGTTAATGAAACATATCAATTCAAGGGAGGAAAGGCATGAATATGGTTACAAGTTGAGAAAAGACAACTTGTAATGATAAAGGCAGAAGTTACCATTAAGAACATACAAGATAAAATGTATTGCATAAAAAATAAGATTCATCTCTCTGAGTTGGAGATACTTAGTAGTAAAAGCAAACACAGAGCTCCTTGACATTTACCCAAGTGAGTTGAAAACTTACATTCATAGAAAAATCTGCACACGAATATTTATAGCAGCTTTATTCATAATTGCCAAAACTTGGAAGCAACCAACATGTCCTTCAGGAGGTGAATAGATAAACAAATTGTGGTACATCCATACAATGGAATATTATTCAGTGATAAAAAGAAATAATCTATCATGCCACATTAAGACATGGAGGAAACTTAAATGCATATTATTATGTGAATAAATTCAATCTGAAAAGGCTACATGCTGTGTATTCCAACAATAAAACATTCTAGCAAAGGCAAAACTATGGAAGCATTAAAAGGATCAGTGGTTGCCAGGGGTTCAGGGGAGGGTGGGAGAAATGAATAGGTAGGGCACAGGAGATTTTGAGGAGAGCGCAACTATTCTGTATGATATTGTAATAATGGATACCTGTTGCATCATTATATATTTGTCAAAACCCATGGAATGTACAACACAGAGAGTGAGCCCTGAGATAAACTATGAAGTACAGTTAATAATAGCGTATCAATATTAGCTCATCAATTTTACCACGTGTACCAAACTAATCCAAGATGTTAATTATAGGAAATCTGTGTGTGAGAGGGGTTAGATAGGAACTCTCTGTAGTTTCTACTCTTCAGTAAATCTAAAATTGTCCCTTAAAAAAACAAACACAGAGATGTAGGATTGAGAAGGATGTTAAAAATGGTTCCCCCATGCTGGATTTTGATTTTGATTAATTAGCAGGAGTAGGTATGAATGGGTATCACTGAGCAAATGTTCTATCACATTCTAGATATTATAACCCAGAATGATGGGGTATCTCCTAATTGAGTTTCCCTAAACTTTCAGTGTCCAAGTGGCAAGTGACCAAGTGACTATTGACGTAAGGAAAATAGTCATTGACTTTCAAAATATAGATGCCTCTCACTGGCATCTCTATCACTGATAAATGTCTTGAAATTTTATTCATACCTCAATCTACTATTTTATTATAAATCATGAGATTGGTATTGAACCACATTACATGTAATTTTAGTAAATATGCCCATTTAAAAAAAATCAGAAAGAATGCACTCTTGAAGAAAAAAATAAAAATGTATTCACTCAACAGCCTGTTTCTACCAGAGTTGTAAAACACCTTAAAAACAATCTTCAAATTTATGCACAATTATAGGGATTAGAAAAATGCACATTTAAAGACACCCTGAATTGTCAGGATCCTATTATTTATGGTTTAATTAACTGTATGAAAAGAATCCTAATTTCCAATCTCTGATAAGTTTCACTGATACTTCAATAGGCCTGATAAAACCAATGGTTCTCAAAGTATGGTAGACACCTGGAAGTCCCCAAGTCCATTCAAGGAGATCTATGAGGTCAAAACAGTAACACTAAGATAAGCATGCTGTTTTTATCATGTTGACCTTTTCACTGATGTGTACAAAAGGAACTACGGGTAAAGCAGTTATGGCTCCCTAACATGAATGATGGCAGTAGAAGCAAACCACAAATAACCACTGTAGGATTGATTCATTGCTATACACTCAGTAAGAAGCTACGTTTACTTAAGAATGTCCTTGATGAAGTAGTAAAAACTATGAATTTTATTAAGTCTCAAATATACATCTTTTGAGTATTCAATGGGGTGAAATGGGAAGTAGGCATAGGGCACCTATGCTGCATTCCACACAGCAGATGATTGAAAAACTGAACTGGGAGCTGAGAAACCCTCATTTATCATGAAACACCATGTTTACTTGAGAAAGCAACTGACAGAGGTGCCTGGCTGGCTCAGTCAGTAGAGCATGCAATTCTTGATCTGAGGGTTGTGAGTTCAAGCCCCACGTTGCGCCGAGAGTTTACATAAAAAAAAAAAAAGAAAAAAAAAAGAAGAAGAAACAGAAAGAAAGGAACAAAGGAAGGAAGAAAAGAAGAAAATGAATGAACTGACAAACAATATTCAGGCAGTTGTTAAGTATTTTCTCAAAAATGAGCAAAGGAAATCTGTAATTTCAAGAACTAACAGTATTTACTACCAAAGGTTTAAGAAACAGATTTTTATAGAAGTTAGAATTTTAGAAAACTTGTATCTGCTATTACTGTGAACTTGACAGCTTCCCCATACCTAAAAAAATTTCTGATGAGATTGGTGGTAATATTAACAAACGTGATTTCAAAAATATTGTATAATGAAATGTGTCAACATTTGGAAGATCTACGTAACGCAGTGAATCAGTATTTTCCAAATGACTAATGCATGATGTTACAAAATCACATATGGGTAAAAGATCCATTCAAACTGCAAGACAGACTAATGGACTGCAATGTAAGTGAGTACTAAAAGTTCATTTATATGGTTTCAGATTCCATATTGCAACTAACCTTTAAGAAACAATCACTCGTTTAATTGTGTAGTGACAAATAAGAATATCCACATTATTTTTAAAATACTTTTAAAATCTTTCTCCCTTTTCCAGCTACCTATCTGTGTGAAGCAAAACTGTTTTCATCTACTTCAATCAAAACATCAAAATGCACTGAATGCACAAGCAGGTATAGGAACCCAGCTGCCTTCTATTAAGCTAGATATTAAATACATTTATTAAAATGTAAAACAATGCCATTCTTATTTTTTTGAAAATAGTTATTTTTAATAAAAAGGTTATTTATGTTGGGGTGCCTGGGTGGCTCAGTTCATTAAGGGTCTGACTTCAGCTCATGTCATGTTCTTGTGTTCATGGGTTCAAGCCCTGCATTGGGCTCTGTACTGACAGCTCAGAGCCTGGAGCCTGCTTCTGATTCTGTGTCTCCTTCCCTCTCGGCCCCTCCCTGCTTTCACTTTGTCTCTCTCTCTCAAAAATAAAATAAAATAAAATGTTACTTATGTTAACATGTAACAAACTTATTGTTAAAGCCTATTAATTACTAAATATATTTTAAATATCTCTTTTGTATTTCTACAATGGTAAATGTTGATAACTATAACCCACAGAAACAAAAGCTGTTCAGGATCCTTAATAAGTTTTAAGAGTGTATTGGGTTCCTGAAACTACTAGAATAAACTGTTATCAGTGACAAAGTTACCTAAAAATAAAACCATAGTTCCTAGTCAATGACTTAGAACATGATAGTAAGAGGCTAATTTGATACTTGATATAATACTACAATTAGAGCAAGTCATAAAACAATTTCTTGATATTTAACTTACAAAGAGAATTCTGTTTTACTAATTTCAGTTGTGATGTAGTCAATTTTTCTCCTCGCTGGCTTTTATTCTCTTCATCACCCTCCTCATCTTGAACTACAAAGTCATCAATAATATAATCATCTCCATCTTCATCATATTCATAATCATCTTCTTCCTCCTCCTCATCACTGCTTGGGCAGGATTCCTTTTCAGAGTCCTAATTAAATTAGAACATACCTTTCAGTAAATTTGTACTTTTAAATTGTCAGTATGGATATAAAATTAAAAGATTAAATCTTAAACCAATGACCCATGGAAATTAATTTCATATTTTAAGGTTAAAAAAATCTTGTCATGTTAAATGTCGAACTTTCGAATTAGTAAGAAGGTAATATACCTCGGTAAATGATGTAAAATGTTTAAAATGGACATTAAGATTATAAGTAGAAGCTGAAAAGAGGAAAGACCATATTAAACAGTCTTTCAATTTTAAAACAGAATGATGAACTGAGGCTCACGATCAATCAAACATGTTCAAGGATACTTGATTAAAAAGAATAAATTCAAGAATTGAGAAATAGAACAGACTCAGTACTTTTTTTTATAAAAATTAAATACTTTGAAAAAAAGATTTAAAAACAGTAACAAAACCAATAGAATATAACACACCTCAAAATCTCTACTACTATTGCGTCTCTGACGAGATCTTTGTTTTGAGAGTTCTTTGAGTTTCTGGAATTGTTCTCGCTTTCTTGCAGCTAAAGTTTTTTCAGGTGTTTTTGGCTCCATCTCTACTGAAGAACATTCATCTTCAACCACTCTACGTGGACGTTTAACACCTACTTTTCGAACTAGGATATCACTGCTGTCACTCTCATCACTGTCGTACATAACAGAGGAGATCCTTTTTCTCTTCCCTCGCTTGATGTGTTCTTCTTCTAAATCCTCCTCTATTATCTGTCCAGTGTGTTTGTTGAGATCGTCATCCTCTTGACTGGAATGCTTTTCATGATCTGGTGAGTCAGTACTTCTAGGTTTGTTTTTGTTATTTTCTTCTTCATATGTTGAACTGTTGCCAGTGTTCATGAGATGCTCACAGTTACTACTACCTTCACTTTCAACTTCAATTAATCTAAGTTTTCTTTCATTTTCAGGCTTTTTATTACTATCGAACCCCTTGTTACTATCAAGTTCTTCATCGCTGTCAAGCTCTTCATCACTGTCAAGGTCTTCATCACTATTAAGGTCTTCATCACTATCAAATAACTGTGAAATACTACTTCTTTTAGTCCGCCTCCAATCAACTCGAGATTTCTGCTCATGCTCTTGAGTTTTAGAATTTTTCCTTGTTTCGTGTCTTCTAACATGTACCATTTTCACTTAAGCTTCTACAAAATAAAGTTATTAGGAATATAATATAATGATAACCAGATCACAACAATGAATGCATTTATGGTAAACTATATTTATTTGGTGTTATAAAATGGTTCACAGCAGTATAAATCACATAAAATATCTGAGTGAAGATGGTAGAACAGTTATTCAACAAATAATTTATTGAACAGCCAAGAAAAAACTGTAATGAACATCAATTGTGAATTATATCTTGCGTTGAAAGGGATGCACAGAAAAACCGTGGTCCTGTTCTCCAGAAGATTATCATCCATGGGTAGAACATACAAAGATATAATAAGAAAAATGCAAGGTGTTCATTTGGTCCAAATGACAGATAAAAATAACGGCAATAAAATTATAAATATGCAGGAAGAACAGTATAGCAAATGCTTCACTGAAGATTTAATTGCACAGATATGATCTGATAGACTTCTGAAGGACTGGTTATATTTCAACAAAAAGAATGACAGAAAAAGGGATTTCAGGCAGGTAAAAATGGTAAGGTCAAAACTCTGGCACTGAGAGAGAACATGGTATGTTAAGTAAGTGCAACTGAAAGGGTGTGAAGAAAGGCTTTATGCTGGAAAAAAGAGAGACAATTATAGAAAAACAGGGTGGGGTTACCAGAGTCATTCATCCTTAGGCAAAGGATTCTAAACAGAAATGACATGAATTATAACATAAAGGGTCAAAAATTTATAGGAAGAAAGTTATAAAGTACTAGCTGACAAAAGATAGCAGTGCAAAACTAAGAGATCACCTATCTACTAAGACAGCAGCTTCTATATACTTTAGTAAAATGGCAATGGCTTTAAACCACTCAAAGTTAAAGACAGAATATAATCCAATAAAAAACATTAACGATCCAAAATTGGGTGAAAAAATAAAGTTTCATGGTGAAGCAGGGCATGATATTGGGAAGAAAATAAATACTGTAAGTTTCTGATTCAGAAAAGGGTGAACCCCACTAAAATTGCCACAAGTATATAATAAAGGAACAATTAGAGATAAGTAATGTAACTAGAAAAAGTTAACACATATGAACTTTTGTAGTTGCTAAGGAAAATAGACATATGATCACACTGTAATGAAACTGACCTCATAATACATGTATAAGAACTTCAGTACTCTATTGAGTGCTATCTCCTTCAAAGAAATCACCTTATGTGGCTAATTATTCCAATATTTACACTATGGCATAAAATATTCTTGGAGATTTCTATAAAACTTAGTATCAGAAAATATATAAAAATATGAAAAGAACCACGCTCCATTTTTTTATCCCAAACAGTGGTTTAAATACCCATTTTGTTCATTTGTCTCAGTTATAAGGGACTATTAGCAGCTTCCAAAAATGAAATCCAACTTCAAAACTTGAACATTAATTACCATTACAGATATATTTTTTAAATATGCTATAACTTTGAAGGTAAATCCAAAAACAGAATGCCAAAATATTTTGAGCAACGGCAGTATCACTGAATCAAGTTTATACCTTTCCAAGATGATTCCTTTTTTGGACAGGCAGGGGTATAAGTGGTAGAAATACCACTCATTTGACTGTACAAATTGTTATGTTTAAAGGCAACGTGACAGGGGTGCCTGGGTGGCGCAGTCAGTTAAGCGTCCGACTTCAGCCAGGTCACGATCTCGCGGTCCGTGAGTTCGAGCCCCGCGTCAGGCTCTGGGTTGATGGCTCAGAGCCTGGAGCCTGTTTCCGATTCTGTGTCTCCCTCTCTCTCTGCCCCTCCCCCGTTCATGCTCTGTCTCTCTCTGTTGCAAAAATAAATAAAAACGTTGAAAAAAATTTAAAAAAAAAATTTAAAGGCAACATGACAGTTTCTAAAATGGTCATATCTCATATAAAATCAGCATAGTGGTTTCTAAGATCATACAGCAGAAATTTATAGTGTAGGCTGAAATGTGACTTTTTTTTAATGTTTATTTTTGAGAGAGACAGAGACAGAATGCGAGTGGGTTAGGGGCAGAGAGAGAGGGAGACACAGAATCCGAAGCAGGCTCCAGGCTCCAAGATGTCAGCACAGAGCCCAACGCGGGGCTTGAACTCAGGAGCTGTGAGATCATGACCTGAGCCGAAGTTGGATGCTCAACCGACTGAGCCACCCAGGCGCCCCGAAAATGTGATCTTATGACAGTAACCACTACAAGATAGATCGAGCATTGTAACAGCAATCTAACAAATTTTAGTCAACAGACAAAATATTCTGTTAGTTGAAATTACACTTGGATTGCAAATTACAGAAGGCTTATATTAAAAATCAGCCAAGATGAGAATTGTGTGTAGTTAAAATTATCTTAAAAATCTCTATATTCCTCTTGAAACTATATATCATACTGCTTCACAGCAGGTCCATCCAGTTTCTTCTCCTGGTTATAAACAGATTACTATTATTGGTGTTGTGTGTGTGTGTGTGTGTGTGTGTGTGTGTGTGTGTGTGTGTTTAAGCACCAAACTGGGCAGCTTATACTGTGAAGCCATATAGTACAAATAAGTTATTTTTTTTTAAGCACATAGAGCTAAATTTGCATAAACCATGCATGTGCATTACACTGTAATGTCTTTCTAATAAATCTGAACTGGGAGAAGGAATGAGAAAACATTTATGAAAACAAATGACAAATATGGCTTCAGTAGATACACTAAAGCAACTGTGAACAGTAGGAACATTAAATGAAAGATGATTCTTTAATATGAAAAAGCAGTTTCATGTACATTAGATGGTTATCTCACAAAACTATACCATGTCAAAAGACATTTATCATGTCAATAGGTGGCTTCTACAACAGCAGTAGAAATGATTAACAATGTGACACTGTAAAAGTATCTGACTGCATATGGTTAAGCTATTAAAAACTCTTATATGTATAGTAATTTTTCAGCGCATTTTCATGTTTTTAAATCCTGACAATGATCCTAGAAGGAAGATATTATCTACGTTTAGTTATAAATATCAAAGCCAAATACGCAGAGTTCAAATGACTTACCGAAGATCATACAGCTTGTTAGTGACAGAGCAGGGATTAGAAACCAGTTCTCCTGATTTCCTGTCCAGTGCTACACAATGACTGCTGCCAATATTATATTTGTACAAGGTGGTAAAAACCATGCCTTTAAAAAGTCATTATTTTATCTCTCATTCATGCTAAATTTTAGTTTCATAAAAGAATCACCAAAATAGTTTAGAGTTTACAAACATGCTTTTTAAAAAAACTATTTTTTTAAACAGTTTTTTTTAAATGGTAACAGAATTTTAGTGCACGTGAGCTAGGCCAGTAACTTCTGGAAATTGTCCATCCAATAGGCAAGAAAAGAATGTGTAAAAGAAATGAAAATTTGGGACTTCCCTCTACCATCTTATTGATGACATTGATCACAAAATTTAAGGATTCCCCATTGAGTCCAAAAGTAAAAATTTCAAAAAGTCAGTTTCTAAGGAGAAAAAAAAATTATTTTGGAAAACTGCAGTATTGAATATTTGAAGAAACAAATTTTATTTAAATAAATCAAGTCTCATGTGGCCAACTGCCAAACTTCCAGGGTCTCTCCTCATATTTCAAAATTGCTGTCACTGAAAAAGAAGATAATTTAAATGTGCTTGGCTTCTCTTTTAAAATTATGAATACTTTTACAATGTTAGCTGGGGAGGGAAGAATGATGACAGAGGGAAAGGGTGAATGAACTGAACCTGAGGAGAGAAATGAGAAGGTGAAGCTAGATTGATGAAAATGACATCTCTTGGGTCATCAGAATTCACTCAAAAAAAAAAAAAAAAAAAAAAGAATCCATGCAATGGATGTAATTTCTTTATATGCTGAGTATACACTCAATTTCTTGAAATGAGAATTTAATCAAGCTTCTTTAATAATACCTTACCTTTAGGCAAAGAGAAAAACAAAGAAACTCCAAACAGAAAGCATTAAATAAATGAAGATCAATACGATCACATCTTTGTGCTTCTGTGTGAATCATCACACAAAAGGCATATACAAAAACCAAAAAAAAAAAAAAAAGCATATACATAGCTTATGCAGTCTGCCAAAGAATACAGATTAAAGGTAAAAATCCATATTGTTGTCTCTCACACAGTCATTCTACAACTCAAAGGTACTTGATGATGCTACTTGAATTTCTCATCAAAGGAAATATCGTGTAGCCTAGGCTTTAAGGTTAATTTATCCTGAAGAAAAGATTCATTCTAGGAATCACTTGCCCTGTCAGGTGACAGTTTACATTTTTAAGGTTTGAAGAGCAATGGAACCCCAGGCATTACTTGAAATTTCACCAGAAGGGATGCATTCCTATTTGTAAAACAACACCCTTCTCTGACATTTCCTTTTATATGATAGTTTGGAGAGAAAACCTTAAAGAGGCCAAAGAAATGGTTATTGAATGCCAGCACAGGCTTGGAGCGTGGCGCTATTAGAAGAAATCAACACGGCCTCTGCTTCCACGGACTCACAACCTGATGAAATTACTGGGAATACCAGTATAAACCGGCATAATACATGACTTAAGGGCTACAGTGTTATAATTCTGAGTACGTTCTTTTCACATTGCTGTGGATACATTTATCACAGTTCTTCCACTGGTAGAAAACAGGGCAGCACAACATGACAGAAATAAGAAATGGAAAGATAACAGAGAGAGAAAGATAATTCCCCCCTTTAGAATCACGAGCCAATGCTCCACAATTTCGCAGAGTGAATCCTGCCAGTTTCGCATCCGGGACAACTACAGTATTCATTAAAATCTTTAACACTGAAGGTGGTTCTCTAACTCCAGCAGGGATGGGTGGCAGAGGAAGGATCCTCTCTGCAGTTTACACCAGAGTCATTTTCCGGATTACAAACCTGGCTCTTTGACGGGACGCAGGTAGCCAGCGCAGCACGCCCACCAGTCCGCTACTCTGCCTCGGGCAGAGGGGCAGGGTAGCTGGGAAACCGTACCCTTAGACCGAGCTTCACGATGACGTGCGCGGGACGACACAAACCCCCAGGCCCTAGGGGAGCTCCGCAACCCAGAAAACCAACAAGGGTCTGGAAAGGCCAGAAACCCGCGAAACCACCACTCCAGCTCCTCACTACCAGTCCCGCCCACTTCCCCACCGCGGAAGAAACAAACACCGGGCCCACTGCAGCTCAGCCCAGGGGGCAGGGAGTGCAGAAAGACGCAGAAGAGGCTAGTCCTACCCACCCGGACAGCGCCCGCGGGAATTTTTTCCCCCGCCTGCCGGGAGGCGCGGCTTCCCCGGCTCAGTTAATAAGCCATCAGCAGCCTGAGCGAGAGCGAGTCCCCGCCCCGAGCTGGCCCTGCACCGCCCCCGCGCCCTCACCTTTCAAAGCTCCTCCGCCTCTGCCTCCGCCCCAGGTACCCTCTCCAGACTAGCCACGCTCCTCCTCCTTCCGGGGACCAGGGGAAGTCCCGCCTCTGGGAGGAGCAGGGGGCGGAGCCGGCGGCGGGAGGGGGCATCTTCCGGGAGCGCGTGCTGGGGGAGGAGCGGTCGCCGCGCGTTAGTCAGGGATCGGTGCGGGTCCTGGTTCCAATTGAGGTGGGGAGAGGGGCCCGGCGGGCTGTGAGGGGCCGGGAGGACTGTCCAAGCTAAGCCCAGCGCGGGGAAGTGTGGCTTGCGGTGGAAGGGGTTGGCTGCTGGGGAAGCAATCAAACGTAGCCGTTCCCTTGGGGAAAGGGGCTAGTCCCCGACTCCGTGGCTCTTCCGCTCTCTGCTGTAACTTTGGGGTGTGGCAGGGGCTAGTGACGGACGTGTTTACCCTGGATCAGGGCTTGAAGGAGGTTTGTGGTCACGATGGAGTTATAGTCTTTATCGCGGCCACTGGGGGAATAAAACAAATGTTTGTAATCCGGATTATCCGCGGTGACTTGGGGCCTCCTCTACTGCCCATCTAAGTTAAAGGCCTGTTCCCTCAAACTTCCTTCCCTCTCACCTTCCTCTGCCGTCTCATTGCCGGCCAAGCCCGTCCAGGGACGGGGTCAGGGTCACCAGGTTCCTGGTAAGGTTGAAAGACTGAGGCTGTAAGACTGCTCAAGTGGGTCTGTGTGAAAGAAGGAAGGATTTTGTAGATTGTTTCAGTGTGAGTGTGGGGCAAGGGCCTGAGTCCCACAGCCTCAGCATGTCTGGAAAACGGAAGCGGGTGGTGTTAACTATTAAAGATAAGCTTGATATAATAAAAAAACTTGAAGACGGAGGTTCTTCCAAACAACTGGCAGTGATTTATGGGATTGGTGAGACAACAGTTCGGGATATAAGAAAAAATAAGGAAAAGATTATAACTTATGCAAGCAGTTCTGATTCCACAAGTCTTCTTGCCAAGAGGAAATCTATGAAGCCATCTATGTATGAGGAACTGGATAGAGCAATGCTAGAATGGTTCAACCAGCAAAGAGCAAAAGGGAATCCCATATCTGGACCAATTTGTGCAAAAAGGGCAGAGTTCTTTTTTTATGCTTTGGGCATGGATGGTGATTTTAACCCCTCTGCTGGTTGGTTAACTCGTTTTAAGCAGCGGCACAGCATTAGAGAGATTAACATTAGAAATGAAAGATTAAATGGAGATGAGACTGCTGTGGAAGATTTTTGTAACAACTTCCGAGACTTTATTGAACGAGAGAACTTACAGCCTGAACAAATCTACAATGCTGATGAAACTGGACTCTTTTGGAAATGCCTACCTTCCAGGACTTCTGTGATCAAAGGTAAATGCACTGTCTCAGGGCACAAGTCAATTGAAGAAAGAGTCACTATCATGTGTTGTGCCAATGCAACAGGTTTACATAAACTGAAACTTTGTGTTGTGGGGAAAGCAAAGAAACCTCGCTCTTTCAAGTCAACTGACACCTCAAACCTGCCAGTCTCTTATTTCAGCCAAAAAGGTGCATGGATGGATCTTTCCATTTTCCGACAGTGGTTTGATAAGATCTTTGTGCCACAAGTTCGAGAGTACTTAAGATCTAAAGGCCTACAGGAAAAGGCTGTGCTCTTGTTGGATAATTCACCAACACATCCAAATGAAAATGTCCTAAGGTCAGACGATGGCCAAATATTTGCTAAGTATTTACCACCTAATGTGGCTTCATTGATCCAGCCCTCAGATCAGGGAGTCATAGCGACAATGAAGAGAAATTATCGTGCAGGTCTTCTTCAGAACAACTTGGAAGAAGGTAATGACCTGAAATCATTCTGGAAGAAGCTAACTCTGCTAGATGCACTTTATGAAATAGCAATGGCATGGAATTTAGTAAAGCCAGTTACCATTAGCAGAGCATGGAAGAAGATTCTTCCTACCATAGAGGAGAAAGAAGGCTTGGACTTTGATGAAGAAGATGTTTCTGTGGCTACCGTGGCCACCATTTTACAACATACCAAAGGATTGGAAAATGTGACTACTGAGAACATTGAAAAATGGCTTGAAGTGGACAGTACTGAACCAGGCTATGAAGTGTTAACTGACAGCGAAATCATCAGAAGAGCACAAGGCCAGACAGATGAATCTAGTGAAAATGAGGAGGAGGAAATAGAACTGATTCCAGAGAAGCATATTAATCATGCAGCTGCTCTCCAATGGACTGAAAACTTATTGGATTATCTAGAACAGCAAGGTGATATGATTCTGCCCGATAAACTGGTGATACGTAAACTTCGAGCCACCATCAGAAATAAACAGAAGATGACAAATTCAAGTCAATAATGGCATTTCATTGTTACCATTGTTTTGGTAATTGTGTTTGTAACTCAGTCTCTGCAGTATGGCTTACTTTTCTTTGTGTTCTCAATTCTCAGACACAGTCCTATGAAATAGAGATACAAAAATGTATCTGAAGTGGCTTGAGGATTATGTGTTTTGCATCCTGTGTCTCTTCCTTTATTTGTACAGATAACTGGAAGCTGATTCTGTATAGATACAAATTACCTATACACATGTAGACCTGCAATTATCCCTTCTATTACAGTGGCATTTCCTAAAACTTCTAACAAAAATTATAGACAACGGAACAGATTGAGCACTTTCCTGAAATCTATAGTTCGGTTTATGAGGGCTGCCACAGTAATCTTACTTTGTGGTGACATCTTAAATGGTTATGTTTTGTGTATCTGTATACACTGACAGAATGAGAAATACCTATATTTTAGATTTCGGGGTGATCTGTAATAATTTAAAGTGAAGTCCAATATGAGGAATCTGATCTATGAATTATAAAAATAACTTAGACATCATACTTTTATTCTCTTGCGTTTGTTTAGGTAGCAAGAGGGGGAGAGTTTTCTCGAATGAAGTAAATATAGGAATTGATTACTAAATTAGAAAACTACTTGAAAGTTGATATATAAAAGAGATATTCTGATCTATTTGTAGAAAACTGTGAATTAAAAATTTGGGGAACTTTAGGTTATTTATGAAAAGGGAATAAATAGGCTTGTTTTAATTGGGTCTTATGAATTGGGTAATTATTTATTCATGTAATTATAGTACAGATTTTGTAATGTTACATGTGGTGGTATGAACTCCCACCTTATATGTGGGGGAGAATATTGGGAATTTATGTTTTTTTTTACTGTGTACTTGGAAATGTCTGTAGTTTGAAAAAGTTTATCATGCCTTTCCTTTTTATTTGATGTGAAAAGAAAAAGAAATGAAAGAATAAATTTTGTTATTATTTTTAACAAGCCATAGGTTGAGACCTGTTTTATGAAGAAAGCAGAAATAATTACGGAAAGTAATTTTAAGGAATTTTAAGGAATTTCATGACTTACTCTTTTGACAGTTGTAAAAAGGTATTTATTCCAGAATCCATTAGCAAAATTAAGTCAGAATTTTGCTAAATTTGCTTAGTAAATTTAATGTTTATTCAACACATTGAAAAGACTTTACACGTATGAATATTGGTTTAATTTGTAATTTAAAAGCAATGTGAGTCACCGTATTATTTCATGCTTTGGCCCGTAAAAAATAAAATGTCCTCTCTCAGTTATTTTTTTAAAGGTTTAACTTTTTTATTAAAATATTTTGCATTTTATAGTGCCTTTCTTAGAATTCTAAGACTTCAAAGAGATTTAGCTTTCCCTAATTTCTGTTATCTTCATGATATATGTCCAGATTTTTAAAAAAAGACTTCTGTGATTGGAACTGTTTAAAAATTATTGCATGAATTGCCTCAGTGCACAGAGGAAAAAAAGCATCAGAAGTTAACATACATCTTGAATTAGATAATTATACATTCTGCTATAAATTAAATTGTATATAACAGAATTTTTCATTTTTCTAACATGAAAATATGTATAAAAGCTTCTTGGAATTTCTGTCTGGGTTTGTTCAATTTTTAAAATCAATCTTGTCAGTGAAATTCAGCTGTATCATTGCCACCTAGTGGTAAAATTAACATTACTGTTAAGCTGTGTGGTTCTAAATTTTAATATCTAGTAAAAGGTTCACTGTTTTGTGGCCTTGAGTGTGAATCTTGTGACTCTTTCTCTAGCCTGTGAGAGACTGCTATTGTTTTTTAGATTTATACCTATTTGCTCTTTTCCAAAAGCTGGCAACATGGGTAGGCTACAGTTTGTTTTAGACCCTTTTATCCTTAAACATAAGTATAAAATCTCCCCATTACTGAATATCATGTTATGTTCTAAACAATGTACTTGTATAACCCTCAAATTATGGTGGAAATACTGTTGCTCAGCTCATACTCTTAATTGCTGAAAATCACTTGGCTACAGGTAAGAATTTAAACCCAGGTATTTGATGACAAAGCCTCCACTTGTACTGTCCAACCTAGGCTAACCTTAACCTTTCCAGTCTTTAAATTTTATTTCTTGCCACCAACCTCCCTCCAGACCTGTAACGGATGTCTGAATTTACTTCTCTATTTTCCAGTGCACTTGTGGCAGCAACTGACCTTTCCTTTACTCTTTCATGAGGTTAGTCTTCCTCTTTCACTACTCTGTAACTTTATTTCTGTTTATCTCCAACCTAATAGCATTTGAACTTGGATCATCTGTCTTTTGATTTCAGGTTAGCCATGCTCACTAAGGAGTCTTTCTCACTTAATTTAAAATCCACCATTGGGAAAATAAACAGCTCTTGCAAACATTTCTCTTTAGTTCATGAGACAATCTCAAAGAAATTCGAGGTGTGGGCACAGTATTATACCAACATAGAAATCTTACTGGACCAGAGATACTGGAAACTGCTACTATCAAAACCACATGAGTATGTATGCACTCAGAGCCATACAGATCAAAGGGGGAGACATGAGATGATATGGGGAAAGAGGGAAGGATAGGTTGAAATACAAGAGTTGGTTAGAGAAGGAAAAAAAGGAAATGTGGGCTAAAGTGAGGTGTATTTTGTAATGATGTGTATTGCAGCATCATAGTCCCAGGCTTAGTAGTGTGTGCAGCTCATTCATAGATGGTGCCTGAAATCTCTGCTTTTCTTTTTTTATAGAATGTTAAAAAGTCAGTGCCAAGTTAAATGCATGTGATCAGTAGTTGGGAATGGTTAGTGGATGATGACAGAAGCTATTTGGGTACTTCTTGTATGTGCTCCAAAGTCATCAATACTTAGTTCCCAATTCCTCTTCCCTTAATGTACTGTGTGTTTAGCTTTCTCATTCTCCACTAAGAAATTAGCCACAGACTTAGTTTTCTTACTGGTCTTGCCAGGTTTTCCCCTTGATGAGTCTTGATACAACAACAGTTCTCAGAAAACCAACCTGTATATTAAAGTGTTTCTTTAAACCCATACTCCTGGTAGCCAAGAATTCTGTGGGAGTAGCTTTACCTGTAGGTATTGATAAAGTAAATTAGGAACTTGCTTTTTATGAGAGATTTGGACTTTTGGTGGGTGGTTGGTGAGTGAAGTAGAATTCTTGGCCAGGTTTAAATTTAGTGAATCAAAAATTGGTAGAGTCTTAGTATGTGCGTAAGACTACTGGGGGTGGTGGGTTTAGGAAAATATAAGAGGATGAATGGTTCTTGTCCTTAAAGATCTTGAAATTAATGTGGGAAAATGGTATTTGAGAAACAAAACAATACAAACCTATCTGTTTCGATTGTAATCTCATATAAAACAGCCAACATGATGTGATAGGGACTGTTGAAGGAGACCATCATGATTTATTTTACTTACTCATTTCTTCACTGGCTTGTTCTTTGTATACCCTCTACATTTTAAGCTTTTCTTTGTTCTTGTTTTTTTTACTGATTCTGAGTGACTTTATCCATTTCCTTTTCCTGCATGCTTATGACCCCAAATCTACCTCCAGTCACTGTTTTCAGAAGTCCAGATCTGTATCTTCAGTTGAGAAGCAGGATTTAAGTTTGGAAGGGAAATTAAAATTGTTGCTTTGCTTCCCCACTGTAGTAAACTCTATTAGCATTCTAAGGTCAGAGCTACCTAGGTGGGCTAAGGAGCTAAAATAATTTTTTTATCGAATGCTAAACAAAGCTCATCTTCCTTGGTCTGAAATAGCAAAATAGGTCATTATTTTCTTATCTCTGTCCTCTTAGTTAGCCTTTCCTGATATACACACATGCCTTTGCTTTTGACCATTTGGTCCCACAGGCAGCCGTAGTAGTTTCTGTTTCTGGTATCCTGGTTGCTAGTCAAGTATCAAAATTAGTTTATCATGTTCCAACCCCTCACCTCCTTAAAAGACCATCATTTGTACTCTGTACACCAACTTTATTCCTTAGAAATGTACTCTGTCTTCCCCATTTTAGGCAGCTGGCAACTTCACACAGTAACTAGTCTCATGCAATTAGAAGTTGGGTGTGAAAGAATGCCCAAGGGTGAGCAGTCACTGGGCACACCTAATGTGAGAACTTGTATCTGTAAGGCCTTAGAGTCCATGAGACTTGTAGTATATTGTGAAATGGTTTTTGTGATTTGTGTCTGTTAATACTATAAGATCAAGGATCAATGCTTTGCAGAGTAGTAGACATTCAGCAAACGTGTACTCAGCAAACCCTAAATGTATACTTTTTGTGCATAAGATGTGTCCTAGGCAATGTATGGGATACATGGATAAGACTATCCACTTCAAGAGATTTACAATAGAGAGAAAGATGCAGAAAAAGGAGTGAATTAAGTGTTACAATGCTGATGGAATGCAAAGGCAGGACTCATCAATTCTGATGTGACATAAAGAAGCACAATCTGATAGGAGGAGTGGAGTCGTAACAATTGAGTTGGTCTTGAAAAATAACTGAAATTTGCATTTCCCTTTTGTCTTCAGCCTGTGCCAAATGTGCTCCTGCCACATCATCCCCACTTGAGAACACTGCTATAGAGCTACAAGACTATAGGTATTTGGTCTGCTGTTCAAATTATTGAAGGTAATATTTACAGAATATTTTTTACCACTATTCCAAATTACCCAGCCTCTGGTGGTTATTTTTCTGATGCCTGCTTCCTGATCACAAATGTAATGCCACATACTTGAGATTTTTATCACAGCAGCACCCCACTTCAAGGTACCCATTCCACTATTGATCAGGGTAACTCTAGCTGATGAAACAAACCTCAGAATTTTAGAGACTTATAATAAATCTTTTTCAGCAGTTTTATGATGATAAAGGACTTGGTTGGAGTATAACTTTAAATAGTGATTCACAGATTTAGGCTCCTTCCATCTTGTGATTTTGCATTTGCTAGACTCTTGCAATCTCCTGAATCTAGTCAACAGATGGGAAAAGAGAGAACAAAGAATATACACTGCTTCTTAGAAACTTCCTTTCTCAAAAGTGAAATACATTATTTCAGTTCACATTCTAATGATGAGAATTAATCACCCGGCCCTACCTTGGTATAGGCAATGCTGGAGAATGACTCTCTAGCTAGGCAGCTGCTTCCTAGAGACCACCTTGTACTATGGAAGGGGAAAGCACACATTTAGTGAATAGCCCTTTCTTAAACAAAAAACAAGCAATTCTTATAGAATCATGTAAGGAAGTTTTAAAAAGAATATCAGTGTATGAGTCCAACTCCAAGAGCATCTGATTTAGTTCATCTAGGGTGGCTATAGTGTTTGTTTTGTTAGTTTTAAAGTTTCCACATATCTCTCAGTGTGCGGCTACGGTTGAGAACCATAAGATTAGGAATTTGCGAGGTGCAGAGAAGATTTGGAGACAAGAGAATAACAGGTTCCTCTGATTGACTATGAGGTCAAGACTATATATCAAGACAAAGTAATGAGGAAGCTACATAAATAAGCAAAAGCATGTATATGCACCTGTATGTCTTTGTTGGGGTTAACTATGATATCAGAGGAGAAAATATGGAACTTGGAAGCAGAAGACCAATATTTAAGTCCCAGATTTATCATTTTTCAGTTCTAGAATTTCTAGTTGCTTGTTTTTCATAAGTACCTATTCTTTCATATAGACAATAATCTGTTATTTAAGTGTATTAATTTTACTTATTTGAAAATTACAGTTTGAATTCTCTACAGTCTCTGACCCTTCCCTAACCTTTACTGAGTTTGTAGTCTTTCATGGAGTTGGTACTATTCCAACACTTGGACATTGTTAATTGTGCATTCCTTATGCAGCTGAGATTGCCTGAAACACTATGGTCTCTGCTTAGACAGCACATATTATGGGAAGTATAGAAACATATGTTAAAGTTTGGTTGGAGCCACTGATAGAATATGCAATGGACATTATAACCTGTCAGATGGAGAACTTGGGAGCTTGTTTTCTTTGGACTTCTCTTCCCAGCTTTCACCATTTCATTATATGGACACACACAGTTTTCTCCTGCATAATTTATGGTCCTCCAAAAGTTTACCTTCTTATTTTTAGGATGGCTATACTTTCTTCTTTTAATATTTTATGTATCTTTTTCTATAATGTATGTGATTGATATAAGAATAAAGCAGGGACGCCGGGACGGCTCAGTCAGTTAAGCATCTGACTTCGGCTCACGTCATGATCTCATAGTTCATGGGTTCGAGCCCCACATCAGGCTCTGCTGACAGCTCAGAGCCTGGAGTCTGCTTCAGATTCTGTGTCTCCCTCTCTCTCTGGCCCTCCTCTGTTTGCACTCTGTCTCTCAAAAATTAATAAATGTTAAAAAAAATTTTTTTAAAAGATAAGAATAAAGCACCCAATATCTCCCTTTATCCTGATATCAGAAGTCCTGGCAGCGTGATCTTGGGTGAGTCTCTAAGTCTCTCTGAGTCTCATTATCTCTAAAATGGGGATAATAATTCAGACTGTTAGGAAGAATAAATAAAATAATGAAGAATACTTTGTGAATGAATGCTAGTTTTTATATTATTAATAGGAAGGATTAAAGGACCAGAGGCATCATAGATGATAAGAGTGAGAGAGTAAGTTAATTGAAACAGCAGGAGTTTGTGGTTGAAGGGAAGGATAATAAAGATCAAGATTTGCAACTTTAGGTATTCACAATGTGTTGAGGCAATGTATACAAATGGGCTCTGGCATTCCTTTTTCATTGCTCTCTGCTTTCTCTTATTACTATATGATGTGGGGACTAACCCTTTTACTCACATTCTAAATCAGAAGACACTTTTTTTCCCCCCACATTACAGTTGACCCTTGAACAATGGGTTTGAAGTATTTGGGTCCACTTATATGAGAATTGTTTACAGTACTGCAAATGTATTTTACCTTTTAATTTTCTTTTCTCTGTCTTAATTTATTGTAAGAATACACTGTATAATACATATAATATACAAAATATATGTTCATCAACTGTTTATTGGTAAAGGCTATTAGTAGTTAAGTTTGGGGGAAGTCAAAAGTTATATGTAGATTTTTGACTGTGTGGGGCGTCAGTGCCCCCAAACCTTGCATTTTTCAAGGATCAATTGTATAATTATGAAATATTTGTAGATTCTTACTTTAAGGACAAATCCTGAAGGAGAAAAGGACATTTCAATTAAGTCCTAAAGGTAGTGAAGGAATAAAAAGATCAATTGTGGTTGAAAAGCCCTTTCATGGGGCGCCTGGGTGGTTCAGTCGGTTCAGCAGCCAACTTCGGCTCAGGTCATGATCTCGTGGTCCATGAGTTCGAGCCCCGCGTCGGGCTCTGTGCTGACAGCTCGGAGCCTGGAGCCTGTTTCAAATTCTGTGTCTCCCTCTCTCTGACCCTCCCCCTTTCATGCTCTGTCTCTCTCTGTCTCAAAAATAAATAAACTTTAAAAAAAAAAAAAAAAGAAAAGAAAAGCCCTTTCAGGTATACACACTAAGATTTAATGGAAAAGTTAATAAAGTTTCAAGGAACAGATAAAAAATCTGAAAAGGAGGAAGGGGATATTGAATAGATTAGTGACAAGCATTTGGATAATCGTTTGTCTCTTTCTGAATGAAGGAAATGAAAAATAATAAAACAGGAGTAATAATGATGGCAGATTCGTTTTGAAAACTTATTTAACAAATATGATCACACTGGGATGATTTTAAGTTGAGAGAAGTTTATGGTTTCAGTTTACTACTGAAAAGAAAGCAGTGGGAGTCTGCCTTTTCACTAAAAGCATTTTCACAAAAGGTAATAGAAATGATTGGTATTTGATGCCATTCTGGAATTAAAAGAATAAATAGCATTAAGCAGTCAAGTAGCTCTTCCATTCTCCCTTTTTACACATGTCTAAGACCCTGTGTGCATTTGTCTAGTATTATAAATTGACACAAGTAACAGGGATTTGTCTAGCATTAGAAATTGACACAAGCAATGGAATTGTCAGTACATATGTGAGGGGGAACAAGTGCCCAAATTTCATTCTTTTATTTAATAGGGCTTTTCTTGCATAAGGCATGTAAAGAAAAGTCTTTGTTGCAGAGATGTATGAGGGCTCCATGGGAACTGAAAACAAGGCTGCATTTGATCATATAGTCAAACACCACTATTATTTCCTATTTTGATTTAAGTAGGACTAGCTTTTCTTTCTTTCTTTATTTCTTTTTTTTTTTTTTTTTTGGTTCTGTGTATTACAGATGTTTTAACAAATGAAATAAAATTGAATGCCATGTGGAAAAATCAGTTATCCAGGAAATAATTTTTAAGCTGTATTTGTTCCCTCATTAGCAGAATTTTCTGTTACCTAATCTTAATAGGAAAAATTATGTTTCATATATTAAACAATCAGATGTCTCTTAAACATTTGCCCCCTTTTAACTTGAGGTCTTTGTTAGTTCTTTTAATGTCACTCTGACATCTTATCTTTTATTATTTGTTCATTTATTCATTCACCTCAAATATTTATCTACCTATGAATATTTACCTAGTTCATAACCAAAATTTTAAATAATTATCCCCTAATTTCTTCTTGATTTGTGTAATTATTAACTTGAAATTAAATCCTTATATATTTTGTATTTTAGAAAAATGACTAATATTAGGTGGGTATACTACTTCATTGATCAATGAGGTGATGGAGAGAGATACTCAGAAAGATTGATGATTAAAAAAAAAACTTTTTAAAATTCTATTGATTTTTTTTTTGAGAGAGAGAGAGAGAGAGAGAGAGAGAGAGAGAGAGAAACCAAGCACATGAGTGGAGGAGGGGCAGAGAGAGCAGGAGAGAGAGAGAATCCCAAGCAGGCTCCATGCTGTCAGCACAGAGTCTGATGTGGGGGTCAAACTCACAAACTGTGAGATCATGATGTGAGACAAAGTCAAGAGCTGGAGGCTTAGCTGACTGAGCCACCCAGGCGCCCCAGGTTGATGATTTTTGATGAGTTTTAGCATTCAAATTGGTTTTAAAACCAGAATTATTTTGAGATTGTCATTTTGAAATGCATGTAACACATAACATTTATTCATTGATTTATTTGAGTGATAACAAATATTCTTGTTCACACACAGTTAAGATATTTATTTACAATACCCATTTTATATTACCTAGAGATTATTTGATGGTTTTAAAATAGAAAAAAATTCAAATACAAATAAAAGTAGAAAGTTGAAGAAGAATGCTCAATAATGATTAGACTCTATAAGTATTAAAATATCTACTATAGGAGTTTAATTTTAACTGAGTTTTCATAAAAGCTCTCCCAACATAATGGATATTTTCTTGAGTTGCAAGGATGCCTGGTCTTTAATACTTTTTTTGTTTTACTTTTATAGTCATGATAGATGCATTAACAGCTATATATGCTATGGCTTGACAGAGTTGCCTTCTAACCAAGCTATTGTCATCATTCTTGGTTAACTAGCTTGAATATATGAATTTACCCCAATTAGGATATAATTAGGCTAATCCTGATTTGGGTTGACAAAGAGCCTTGCAGGTATTCTAAAGACAAAATTAATTTTCAAGGGTTCAATATATTTATTTGTTCATAACAGTGTAAAAAGTTACATA